GTTACTATCATATTCGTTGTTATTCATGGTCATACTTTTGGAAAATATGATCTTCAATTTACTGTTATATTTACACACATTATGACATACACACATATTTTGAACAGTATTCTTTTTGCATATACGCCTTTTGAAATGTTAATGGTTCGTTGTTATTCAAAAGAAAACATTCATGTTTTCAGTTACAGTGATTCCCCACTCATAATAGTTTAATGAAACTGTAGAATCTGAAAATGTAGAAATCATCACAAAATCCTCCAACCGATTAAATAAAAATCCCTACAAAACCAATACTCGAAAATTAATCTTATGTTCACTAGCGACTGGCCCTATTCAGGCGGTTAACCTGGTGTACCCTCACCAGTAGGGTACACCAGGTTGAAAGTGAGGCAGTAACTCATCGAAGAAGACATTGTGAAGCGGTAGCGCCATGTCATGAATGGACAGGTGTTAGAATTCATGGGCTGGCTGGCCATTGGATTGGGTTCCAGTTGCTGCTGAATGGTCTGCGAGCTATCTCACCCTGTAACCAGAAGGTTCTGGGGTCGAACCTTGGCGGTGGGTGCGTACTACTGAAGACTGCCATAGAAAGGGTGACAAAACAGCTGTACACTGATGCTTGCAGGTTTTTCAATGGTTCTCTAACTGATGTCAGCTCATGATAAAATCCTTCAACCAATCAAACAAAAAATCCCTACAAAAACTAATACCTGAAAAAATTCCTTCTCCAGAAATCTCTATTTTTACTATTTATACTCTGGTCATCTGTAAATATCCCTGGAGTAAATTGAGGCAGAATAATTGGAAACACTCGTTGTTTTGTCAGTAACTTCTTCTGTTTAGGCCTTTACAGCTTTAAATTCATTTAATATAAGAATACAATAGTTATTATCGGATGTGATGAGTCAAAAATCAACTGGGATTGTAGCCTATATACCGCTAGTTTGAACCTGATTACAAGTAAAATTTGTAAACCTGATTAAGTTAAAAGAGAGAGATATTCGCCTCAACACTGACTATGCATAATTTGAACAATACCAGAAAATTATATTTAGGTTACATTAAAGATTTGAACATACTTACTCCACAATGACAAGAAGCAACTGATGACATAATTACGGGAATGATGTAAGCTGTTAAATAATTAGTTAATTAAAAGGCAGGCCTAAGCATTGGATAATTTAGATGAATAAGCTTGAAAACAGAAAGACAGTTTGGAAAACCTTTTGGCGGAAACAAAATTTAATCACAAGGAGTAAAACAATATAATAGGCTATATAACTGTAGAAAACAATTAAATACTCCTCACAGCACATAAAATTTAAGAGGGAGAACGCATTACTTATTAAAACTGTGTAGTTTGTCATGTAAGGCTAGTCATTAATGTAGTGTAGAATACATCAGCAACTCTTTCTTCAATAGTTTGATGGTAACTGCCTCAGCAAAAATAAGCAGGTTAGGTTTTTCCTGTCTGTTGGTTATTTTCAACACCTTTAGATTGTCGACAATAGTGAACAGTTGCCTATACAACACAACGCACAAATTGTACTGTTCAACGCCTCTTAGCGCTTTACTCTCAGTTTCTTTGATATGTTTTAAAAAATACGCACAATAACCCTTCGCTATTTTGATTGGACACTAATTAACAACTAGTGTAATTTGTCTAGTCCTATGTTTAATGCAGACTGAATTCCATCAGTCAAGTTTGCAATATGGCCACCGTCAAGGTAGGCGGCTCACCATTAAGCTGCACTGTGAATTGTTGAGGCAACATAGCTAGAGGCAATCCGCAGGAAGCCTTGCTTGACCTAGGTTTCGTGCTAGTTGTAACTTGTCAGCAAGGCGTATCTGCAGCCTGAAAGGAACACTTTTTTAGCGAGCCACCTAGAATGGTAACCACATTGCAGACTTGACTGATACAGTTCGATCTGCACCGAACAAGGGACTAGACACATCACACTTATAACTAGTGTCCAGTCGAAGTATCCAATACAGTCCAATATAGGAAGGAGGTCAATCGTGAGCCGGAAAGCACAGTGGTAACATCTCTGACTTCAGCACTAGGTGACGCGGGTTCGAATCCCAGAAAGGACACGGGTTCCTTAAAATGTTCAGGTACGCCTTTCTGAATGGTGAGTGCCAACTAGCAAAAAACCTAGGTCAAGCAAGGCTTACTGTGGATTGCTTCCAACCATCTAATTTCAACTCTTCTCTCTGTTCTTCCAATGTATGTGGGTTGGAACCTACATATAAAAACTGTTAAACACAGTTGGAGGTAACATGAGGTGGGAGTTTGTTCACTTTTGATTGTTTTAAACAACTGGTCGTTTGGTAAAGGCTTACAGGCTTGGCAGCTAGATATATTATTCTCAGGACAGTGTTCAGTCCTTTAAACTCCTAATAATTTAACAACTTACGCTACACTTAGCTCCTACTAAGTGCTATTTTAGAAGGCAAGAGAATTTAGCAAAGACATTTATTTTTCAGTTAGATCCCCATCTCTCGCCCCACTCTGAAACACATAAAATAAAAAAGAAATTTACCAGTCCAGTGGCGATAAGTTTGTTTACTGTGACAACTAACCAAGAAAATTAATACAAATAATTAAAAGGGTAGAAATGATTTCTACAAGTGGATCGGATAATCCATTATTTAATTTTGGAAAAAACTGAAGACTGATCAATGAATTTATTGAGTGTTCAAGTTGATTATGTAATAGACAATCCAAGAAATATAAAGCAGTTTGGACAATGGTCATTCGTAAAAGCCTTAGGGGAAGGGTGGAATAGTCAGATTTCTACTTTTAATGTAATGGTGGCTAAAGTATGGAAAGTAAGTGGCGGTACGAATTTCTTCTGAACAAACAGGTTTGGCTCCTTCATGTGGATTTCGATGACTTCAGCTGTATGTATGCATGTATGCATGTATAAGACGAACTCGTCAAGCGAAATTAATACAAGTTGGAATTCAATAAATAACTTTAAATGCTTTTCTAATATCAGCTTTAGACTCATTGTTTACGAGGTGTGCTAAAACAGAGCTATGAACGGATGCTGTTTATCTATTGTATAACCCTGAAGTATGATGTTCAGAAATGCAATGACTGAATCTGAGTAGATTTACGCCCAATTACTCTTTGTCTTGTAGTATGTAGCAATATATATGTTTCGCTTTCAAACACCATCACGTTGCGAGATTCCGTGATTTTTTCATTTGACCGAGGTGGTAACAGTTTGCTGTGTCTGCAGTTGGTAGGAGCACTGTGGATCACTTTTCAGCACAGATGTATACTGCCTGTAGAGTGACTAACCCCCCTCCCCCTACCCCCACTGCGCTAGCTCTCTTGAAAAAACAGAAACAGAGAAAAGGAAGAGCTTAAAAGACGCCTAGTCTATCACTGGAGCAACAGTACTCTACTGAAATACATAAGTGTACATACAGAAACTGACCTATTCCCTGCCTAGCAAATTAATTCTTCTCTTTATCAGATACCTACAGACGTAATTTTGTCTATATATATATATTAAAAATGCATTATTCATTTTTTCAAATTTTTATGGAATGTATAAGTAAACATTAGATAATTTGGAGAAAGTATAGACACACGGACACGCATACATGCAAAGTATTCCTATCAATTAATACATGAATATTCTATATGTATGTAAACACGTATAACAGTTTATGTTTTATTAGTTGTACTACATGCGTATACACATTGGTGCATATTTTTGTATACATACATACACACATACATATAGAGAGAGATGAACTCACAGAAGCTAATTTTCTCACTCACTCACTCACTGAATTTTCGATAAGCTAGCAACTTACTCACATAAATATACACACAAATACACATATACGCACACACACACACATGAAAGAAAGTCACCCATTCCCTGAGTACACAACATATCTTTTTTGCCTACTATTTTATTTGGTCAAGTGTTCATGCGTATACAAAGAGAAAGGAACATATATATCTCCAACTGTGATGAGAAGACTGACTCCTTCTAATACTACTGCTACAGCTATACTACTACTACACTACTAATACTACCACTACTGTTGAGTGAGTGAGTGACTGAGTGGATGAGTGAGTGTGTTAGTGAATAAGTGAATGAGTTTTAAAAATCTAGGGAAAACACAAAGATAATTGGTCAATTTAGGGATTCATGCCCAAATATTTATAATAAATTCTGTGTGTGTAAAATAAAAGTTATAAGATATTAACAAATGTTTATATTTAATTACTTATAGCAGAATCGAAAAGGAGCACTACATACATTTAATAATAATAATATATTATTAGTTGAATAAAGGATGCAAATATGATTACTCACACACATATTATAAAAATATTGCTGAATAGTGTGAAATAGCAAAGAAACGGAATAATCTTGTTTAAAACACGCAGAAATTAATTAATTAATTAATCAGGTTTTTTTAAAATATTTATAAAAGTGATGCTCCATGTTAATTGAAACGGAATCTCTTCAATGCGTTCAATAATAACAATAATGATAATAATAATTACTATTTTAGTGTTGACGATATCAGCATCAAACTGAACTGACCCGATCAGGAGATCGTCTCACCCATTTCCTCGAAACTGAGAAAAAGAAGAAGACAAGGAAGAAGGCATGGAATTTCGTGAGGTCGGTCATCACGGCTTATTTGTCAGATAATTAGTCAGTTATTTCATCAGCAGTAATTTTCTGTTTACTCCTTCACTGCCCACTGAATGACAACAATCAGTGATCCCTATTTTGGATATGAATCTTTTAAGAATGAAACAACAACTACAACAAAAAATGTATGCGAGAGAAAATCACATGCATATATACCCCCCTGGATATATAATGTATCTGTTGCATGATATTGTAGCATCAGGTGTGATATAATCAATCAAATTAACATAACATAAAAATAGTCAAATTGACTAATAGCTAGCCGAGAGCTAGAGAGAGCAATCACCAGTAGCATCAGAAGAAGAAATGAGTGGATCTAGACGTGGTCTTGTTGCACCACAGAATACATTTCTAGACAAAATTATCCGTCGATGCAATGGACAATGTGAGTTCTATTAAACAATACCACTTTTTATTTATGCATAGTGCCCATCCTCACTTTCTTTTATTTATATATGATTCTATGCAGTTTTCAGTCCATAAAATCATGTTTAACGCTTGATCCTTCAGTTGTTATCATTTTTTTAATTATAATTCCTTTACATTCCCATAGGGTTTCAAGATAGAGGCTTGAAGTTTCAGTAGCGGTGGTGCTTGTTTTTTTTACGGGATGCGGCTGCTAGCCTCATGCCCAACCTTCCCTCTTAACCAGTCTTATTACTGGCTTAGCGAGGTGAATGGGGGGGCGTCTGTGGCCGGGGATCGAACCCCAGACCATATGCTTAGTTGGCGAGCATCCTTCAGGTTGTAGTCTCCTGAAATTACCACCACCAGTGCCTTATGCGAAATGTGGAATATTGAGGCTGACACTGACAACTCTGACACCTAATCGTTAGAAAGCCATATTATTATTACTATTAAGAGCTTGATAGTATGTTTATAAAAATATGTAAAATAATACTGCTCAAGCAAAATTAGCTCCGATAACAGAAAATCTAGTTATATATATATATATGCACTTAGAAGCAGGGTACCTGTGTATACGAAGAAAACTGATCAAGTCCTGTCTCATATATGCACATATATTTCATCTTCAATCTCCAAAAGTTTTTTTCTTTATTCAAGCCTTGATCATATCTAAGTTGTATTCGAAAAATTGCCATATATATTGCACAACTATATTCATGATCGCAAATATATCCAGACTATAGATGCTACTCATTTCTCGGAATAATTTGAACACTCTGAGTCCGCATATTTTAATGGTTAATAAGTCCGCATTAATTCTGCTAAAGACGTAGTATCTTACTCAGTGAAAGGTTCAGAAGAAAAAGTAAATACGCTGGGATACACTGTTAAGTAGTCTGCTTTTATATAATTGAGTATGTTTTGTGACTAGTATTCACGTCTTCCGACAGTAACGGATTCTTTTTTGTCATGTTCAAAAAACAAAGAGATGATATGCTCATTTTAATTTTTCCTGAGTCACAATATGTAGACTTACAAGAGCAGCTTTAGTGTGAGAAAAAAATAGGAAAGACATCTTTGCGCTGATTTCATTGCAAATAGATGACTAATTCCTGTGTAACACAAAAATACGCAAAATAGTGTATTCTATAGACTTCTATGCCCCCACCACCACCACCACCGCTTTCTACCTTGTGATTAGTATTCATTTGTCATCCAAACTATCAAATTTTATTACGGTATTTTATGAATTTCTAAAATTCAGTAAGTTGAAAATTATAACCTCCCTTAAATTGCACCTTCCTTAGAATACGGAATTAAATAATAATAATAATAACTTGATGATGCCCATAAAAAACTGAAAAGACTGAGTTTAATGAACAAAGAACATTCTTTTCGACAAATTCGTCATCACGTCCTACATTTTAAATGAAAGTATTAATTAAAGGAATATATTGATATCAACAACATTAATTCTGTTTTAAATTGCGTTAAATCAATAGTATCGATAGGTGATTACAGTTCCAAAGTATCAGTAAGTGAGAGAGATTAATATGCACTAATATAATTACACTGAACTAATTGAGTATGAGATAAATTATGAGAGGTAGCACAGAATTTATGGACTTGTTCCTCAGCGGCATAAAAGAAATTTAGTAAAAACCTTCAGCTACTCTGAAAACTTCATCACAAAACACACCACCAAGAGAGTAGAAAAGGATTCTTTTCTATCTGTTAACATGAAACCTCCATACATACGACTGTTATTCAAAAGTGATATATCAACAAGTCGAGAAAGTCGACTCAAAGAACATTTAATTCTGGTCAAACTGAAGCTTCTATTCTCCACACAACTGGTTGTGATTCTGAGACTGAGAGATGAAATGATGACTAGGCTAACCACCTCATCTTGTATCTGCCAGTTCAACTGCTCCTGTTCTCCAGTCAGTTGTATTAGCCACTGCTCTAGGAACCTAATTTTACATTCTCAGGAACACCTACCAGTGCGACTAAAACAAGGGTTCCGTAAAAATCACCAGTGGTTCGATATCATAGCACCGGATCACAAAGCTAGAATTGAAGTGTCTTTGCCTATTGTCTATGGGGGATTGAATAAATTACTAAAGAGCTCTATAAACTGAACACTCCAAACATCAGTGGCCATTGCTACTCGCTTAAATTAATTGGATTTCTTTGTGAGAAAGAAGCAGTTTCAGCCACTATTACTACTCTGGCCCTCTTTCAATCCTATAAATTCATAAATTGTGTATGTGTGTGTGTGTGTATAACCACCTATCGATACTACAGATTCAATGTTATTTAGGAGAAAACAATAGTGTTGTCATTAAGAATATTTCTCTGATTATTTTATTTTATTCCTTTAGTGGAACATGGGGCTTCAAAATAGAGAGGCTTGAAGTTTCGGTAGCAATGATGATTATTTTTTTTTAGGATGAGGTTGCTAGTCTAATGCCTAACCTTCCCTCTTTAACAGTTTTATTACTACTGGCTTAGTGAGGTGAATGGGGTGTGTTTGTGGCCGGGGATCGAACATCAGACCACCTGCGTGTTTGGCGAGTACTCTACCGCTGTGCCACCGACACACTCTTTAATTATTACTGCTATATAAATGTAGAACGTGATGACGAATTTGTCGAAAAGAATATTTCATACATTTGGTTTCTCTATAAAAAAGAGTATTCTTTGTTCATTAATCAGTCTTTTAAATAATAATAGTAGTAATAGTAATAATAGTTACTATTCCAGGTCTTGTTGTATCAGCAGAAGGCAAAATACGGAAGCCGGGAAATATTTTCCAATGATCAAACCGCTGTTTATATACTCATTAACCAATCATTGAGCGTGTGATTACATCAAACTACATGAAATGGAATGTTCAAATAAACATAGTATTCTTTTGTTAGTGCAGTATATAACTGTGGGAAAAGTATTCTCTGTCTGTAACATCAAATAGAATGTTCAAATGGGTATTTCGTGTTCTGTTGCTAATGCTGTACTTAACCATGGGAATATGTGAGAGTAATATTCCTTTGGTACACATTGTCTGTATCACACTTATCCAATGGTAAAATCAATTGACATTCATAATAGAGAACTTGATATTAACACGAAATTATGGGTATATAACAACAACAACCAGGGAATATATAGAGCCAAGCCACAAATTCCCCCTGTCATTTCGATGTAACTTAACCCGATGAGTATATTTCAGCATAACGCAAATTATTCGAACGATTGTAGGGAAAAAAAGAGAATATTAGCTTCCAGTTTTTTTTATCACAGATTGACTTCATTTAGAGCACCACTGAAATCCAAGGAGTACTGGAAGCCTTTTTCGCTTAGCTTGTGACTCGTCAACAGTCTGTATGCAAAACCCAATCAGAAAAGAATCAAATCGGTTGGGTATCTTTTCTTTTCTAGCAAAATTAATAGCGACATTGTTTTCTTATTTTTGGTCACACTAGAAAAATGGAGAATTTCTATGCAGGGAAAATATATGGTGTATGAAAACGGCATTACGATTCTTATGTTTCTGTTAAACAAATTAGTAATACTACAGTAGAAATAACCTATTAGAATTAGCTGTATCTAATACCATACTACTACTACTACTACTGGAAAGGTGGGTTTCGATTTCAGATTGACATGAGTTCAAGTTAGCCATTGAAAACCAGTGAGCGCTATGAATAAATTAAAATAAGACAAAGATGATTAGATTTCGTCCAAGTCAATTAATGACACTGAGCATACTGAGAAACCTAGACGTCTTGGGATGTATTCCAGTGGGCGCCTGGGTGTGAAAGTGCGTGAAAGAGTATCCGTGTATTGTTTAGATGAGACTAGAAATTAGAAGAGAAGCAACTATCCGGCTACTGTCAGCTTTCTCCTTCATTCACCCTCTAAATATAGTTGTTTCTTGAAAGCGATCATCATTAATTTGCTTGACTACTGGTTACAAGTGGTTTCAGAACACCTGCATAACTAATTCATCTAGAAATTAAATACTTTAAAATACTGATTAGTGGACAAAGAATATTCAGCTCGAAAACTCTTCTTTTGCTTCAGGTTCTACAAGATTATCGATACATTGTAATTAAATAACTATTGTTGTCATTGACAACATTAGTGTTTTTCTAAATAATAATGAATCATCATTAAGATTAATAAATTGCATTGATTGTATAAATGTAATACTAAACTGAATATCACATATCAGATTCCACAACCAACCAAGGTAGTAGCTGGATCTCTTTCTATATTTTACTCAGAGTTCCCACTTTTTTCTCAGAGACTGGCTATGGCTTCTACTGTTTATAGTACTCGGTATCCAGAGGCCTTTAGCATTTTATTTAGTATTCTATAAACGATTTAATCCTCTGTTTGAACCAGTGTTTCCTAGAACGAGAAATCAAGTTCTTAGGGCAATGACTGATCTACTGTGAACATCTTTAATTAATTTAATATTTTGTACTTGGAAACCAGGACTGTTTCTAGGCGCAGCAATATAAGATCATTTGAATTCAAGGCTTAAGTCCCATGGATGACTTGAACACGGGGAAAACTGAATTCTGTAAGAAGAAGAATATGGATACACAAAAGTTTTTTAAAAAATCAGGTGTTGATTTTCAGGGATTTGATTATGTACAGGTGATGTCGGTCAGAGAACCATTGGAAAATCTGGGAATACTGGACAGCTGTTTTCAGGTTTTCACAGGTTTTCAAGTGGTTCTCTAACCAAGAAGTTATTATTTCTTTGCATTAACCAACTGAGGAAATGGCGCGTTTTTTAAACTTTTTCTCAATATTTGGTAGATGAGCTAGATATTTGATTGATTTTGTGTATGCAGGTGTGTACTAGTGCAGTTTATCGCACCTTCACCCCCTGTTAATCTCAGTAATTAGACCATCTGAAGTGTATTCTGCCTTTCATTAAAGGGACTAGAAAATATTGATGTG